CTCAGTACATTTAATCACCAACTGACTCGCCTTTCCATTCACTTCTCCTTCCCCCGGCCATTACAAGAAAGGCCCCCAACATTTCTTACTTGGACCCCTACAGTACCATCTTCCTCTTCCCTCCAACTTTCTTCTCACGCTCTTTCCAGAAACATTCATCTAGAAAAATATTTGGCCTCTTGGCTCTTTGGGTTCTCCCTATGAGCTGTGATATTGCGACTAAGGTCTTACCTTTGGCTCTTACCCCTGGATATGGTCCCACTGCTCCCTGTGTTGCCATTTCATGTCACTTATCACTCCAGAAGACAGTATAGCATAGTGATTATTAATACAGGCTTCTATCATTTTTTTTAGAATTTAATAACATCTTTTTTAAAATTTTTATTTATTTGAGTGAGTGAGAGAGAGAAAAAGCATGAGAGGAGGGAGGGTCAGAGGGTGAACAAGACTCCCTGCTGAGCAGAGAGCCCAATGTGGGACTGGATACTGGGACTCCAGGATCATGACCTAAGCCAGAGGCAGATGCTCATCCAACTGAGCCACCCAGGTTCCCTTAGTGTAGGCTTCTGGAGTCAGACTGCTTGGATTCTCATTCCTGCCATGCCACTTACCTACTATATAAATTTGAGTAAGTTACTTAACCTCTCTGAGCTTCACTTGATCATCCATAAAACAGGGATAATAACGCTGCATAGTGAGGATTAAATAAAGTATTCTACCTGATGTATTAGCACAGTAGCGGGCATGTAAGTGACCTCCTGCTGTTTAAGTGGTAGCTCTTATTACTCTTATTACTCTTTGTTTTACAAGTTTCTTATCTGGCTCTCTCATCAGACATTTGGGCTGGATCAAGATCTCCTTTGTCTTTCTATGTCTGGAACTTGGCAGGGACAGGCATATAGTAGGCCTTTGAGAAATGTTCGCTGAATGGATGATGGGAAGACGGATGGGGGTATGATGGATGGGTTGTTGGATGAAAGGGTAGATGAGTGTGCGGGCTTATAGACTAGATGGATAAGTGGGTGGGTAAATTACCAAGTGGGTAGGTGGATGGGTGGTTAGATGGGTGGAAGGATGGATGGCTGCACGCATGCATGCATAGATGGAAGCATGGATGGATACATGGATGGATACAAGGGGGGATGGGTGGGTCTATGCATGCATGCATAGATGGATGATAGATGGATACATGGATGGATACAAGGGGGGATGGGTGGATCTATGCATGCATGCATAGATGGATGATGGATGGGTAGATGGTCAAATGGATAGTTAAATAGATAACTTAGTCCTGTTTAAGTAGTATGGAACAAAGGAAAGCTGTGCCTCAAGTCAGCCTTGTCAGCCAGCAGAAAAGAAGATTCTGCAGTATGTGATTTATTAAGTTTGGGGTTTTTTGTTTTTTTCTGAGCACAGCTGTCTCCCTGTTCAAGATTTTTGGTCTCAGGCAATCTGTTACTTGCAATATCACTGTATCCTTGTAAATTTAGACCTTCGGTAAATCTTCTTCAAGCCTGAGAGAAAACACACATGTATACTGTGTTGTGGCCACATAGTAAAAAACTATAATCCTTGCCCGGGAACACTTTGCAATATAATTGGGGAAAGATACTCAATTAATAGAAGCTTGTCAGTTGCTATTCTCCTGGAGTTGCCTTGAAGCTGGGTCAGGATAACACCCACCAGCTTTTGGTGACAACCAGGATAACTCAGAAAAGCTACTTGGAAGAGGTGGTTTGGAGATAAGAAGCATGTTGTCATGAGGAGGTGGCCCAGCAGAGGTGAGTCCTAAAGGTTGAAAGCAGAAAAGCCAGAAGATCCAGAATATTGAGTGCAGCCTAGGGCCCTAGAGCACAGGCTGGGGCTGTTGATGGTGAGGACATCTGGCTCAGGATGGAGGCATTACAGTTGGTCCCAAACTATGCAAAGCAATAGACCTAGTGAGGAGTGATCCCTTAGAGCTTCAGATTCCTCAATCAAAATCAAGAACAATAATGCTTGTTCCATGGGGTGGTTGGGAGGATTAAAAGGTTTAAGATGCTTGTCATCTCGATGCTAGACCCACTGCACTGCTCAACATCCATCTGCTTTCTTCCTTCTTCACAGGCAGCACAGGCTAGTAGTCTAGAACACAAGCTTTAGAGCCATGTTGCTGTCAAATCTGGTTACTAGTTGCATGATCTTAGGCAAATTACATAAACCTTTGCCTCAGTTTCCTCCTCTGTAAAGTGAGAATGATAATAATACCCATCTGTCAGGGTGGTTGTGAGGAATACATGAGTTAAAGTATGAGAGCCTAGGACAATGCCTGATGCATAGTAAGTACTCCATAAGTATTTTTATTATTTTATTATTATTCCTATCATTCCTAAAGAGGTGAACACTTTGTTCCTGATTACCAAAGTGAGAAGCAGTAAGCCTTATATCTGTGGATGAGGTGGGGACATAAACTCCCCTTTATTGAGGACTACTAATGTCAGGTGTTTAGATTACTGTAATCTAATATCAATTAAGATTAATATGATTTTCTTAAAATACTTCATATATTATATATATCACATATAATTTGAATATGATTTAGATTCGTGTTAATGCCCATAGTGACTCTTGGGAATAGGTAATTATTGTCCCCAGCCTTGATGTGGAGAAATTGAGACTCAGAGATACTCAGTGACTTAAAGCCATGTAGTTAGCAAGTGGTGGTGCTGGAACACAAAGACATATTTCCACTCCTCAAAGCGATTTAGGCTGACAGTCATCCATGCCATTCACCTTGGTGCATGGATCAGGAAAGAGTGGTTTGGAAGGAGGAACTGACTTGCCCAAAATGTCATAGTGAGCAAGTGAAAGACCTGAGATCAGAACTCTGCCCTCTCAAATCTCAGCCACTGTTCCTGACAATACGGAGAGCAGAGGTAGCAGTAAGTCTTCATAAAATGGAAGCTCAGCTTTCTTCCCCACGGATCACATGTCTAAGCACTGGATCACAGAGCCAGCCATGAAGTAGAGGAATGGTCTCCTTACAGTGTGAACCTATATGGTTGGCAAGGGGGATTTGGTGGCTTGTGTGGGCGCTTCCAAATCCCACCCATCACATTCCTCATCCCTTTCATCATCTAGGGCCACTGTTCCTTTGACCCAAGATGTTGAACGGTTTTATGAGTGACCAGATCTTGCTGCACTGTGGTTCATTTTCCCCAGCTCAGCTTCCCAAGTATACATGGGGCTTTCTTTCTGCCGTAACTTCTCATAGTCACTTTCCTTCTGAGAGAGGAGAGTTGGCTTCTCCTGATGAATAAGAGAAAGACTACAAGTGTGTCCCTACCTAGGGACTTTGGCTACTTTCCTACTAAAGAGGGAGAAGTCTGAGGCTCCAAGAACATGTCCCCACACTGCAGACATAAAGACTGCATCTTCCTGAGCCAAGCAAACTGGGATAACTGTTGCAATTAACCATATAACTCAAGAGGGAAGGGAACTATTCTTGCCTATTCAGATGGATATTTGGGGACCTTAATTATCAGCAATTTTTCTCAATCCACAAATGTATCAGTTATTGTCAGTGTGGTGAAGTCTGTAAGATAAAGGCATTCCTATTTATTTTCCTACAAAGTACAAAAAGTTATAACAAAAGAAATATCGTGGATTTATTTGAGTTTTTATTGTTCAGAAGCCAAGAGCTAGAAGAGACATCATGCAAAGAGATTTCAGGTGGTGATTTTTCAAGCTTTCTTTTGGAGAACGCAATTCTTTGTCATGTGAAATTTTAAGTGAAACTCCAGTTTATAAAATACTTAAAAAAATAGAGAAGTGCTGGCTTTCTTGGATAGTGGGGGACCAGCAGTCCTACCTGCTCAGTATTCCCCTCTCCCATTTCAGTGAGGCTACAATACAGAGCCCCCAGGAGGCTACAAACACAGTCTGAAAACTAATGACCTACTTTAATTCATATGAGGTTCAGATATGGAAATAAAGGCACAGAGAATTTATTCAAGTTGTAGTCTGTTCGAATTGAAGTTTGGAATTCCTTTCTCTTAGCGCAGTGCTCTTAATGATAGAGTTTGAATTTTGTTTTGATCAGTGATATGTAACAAACATGAAATTTAGTGACTCCTTTTTCTTATGTATCTTAGCTTTGGTCAGGGCTTTAAGGGAATAACTTGTTTTGTTCCATGATACCAAGAGTCTCCATTGACATAATCTAACTGGTGGGGGCTGGCTGGATGTCTCTCTTCATGAAGTTTTAGTGTCTTTCCAGTTGGTCTTTTCAAGATGGCAACCTCAGGATACTTGGACTTCTTCAAGGAGAGTCAGGGTCCCAACTGAGGGTTCTGAAGACCCATATAGAGCTACAAGTCTTCTTTCTGATCTATCCTAGAAATTCCCAGGGTGCAATTCCTACCACATCCTTTTGGTCACATAGGGCCAATCCTGGTTCAATGTGGGAAGAAACTACACATGAGCATGCGTACTGGGAAGTGTGGATTGTTGGGGAGCCATCTTGAATGGTAGCTACCTGATTACCTTGCTTTTAGCATGGCCTTACTAAATAGGTTCTGATTGGTTTGACCTGAAACTGAGAACATAGAAGTCATTGTGGCTTTCCTTAGGTCATAAGAGCACTATCATGTGGAAGAGTGGTAGAATAGTTCTAGAAAGCCAAAAAAGTCATAATTACAAGGAAGCTAGTTTTAGATGACCTGAAGAAAAGAACTTTCAAACAAGTAAAACAGCCAACACTAGACGTGGCATTTTCAGCATGAGTAGTGAATTTCTCCATCGTTAAGAGAGGTCTGTCTCACTCCTTCTACCACCGGAAGTATCTGATTCTCAGCGAAGATGATTAGAGAAACTTGCATCTCCTTGAGCTTTGGGATGCTGAAATACTATGTGCATTTCTAAGAATCAAGATTTCATATAAATCTAATTCTTGTTTGTTTGTCTTTTCTTTTTCCCCCTTTTTGGACATTTCCTTCATCTGACTGCCCATCAATATATAGAAGAAATGCTTATTCCTACTCCTATTACTTGTAAGTATCGACCCGGGGAAACTTTGCTTCGTGCCCTGTGAGGGAACTGTAGCATGCATTTCCTTCACCAACCAAGTGTCTGTTGGTTTTCTCATACTCACTTCTGTCTAAGTCATCTGTAGCCCCAGAGTTTTTATTTCACATAGATGTTTTCCATTTGAAAATGCACTGTCATTGTTTATGTCTGTTATGTTTCTGCCATCTTGGATTTTTCCCCCAATTTTTGGAGATGTGAAGGCAGTATAATTTTCTAGTTAGAAATCCTGAATTTCATCAAGAGTTCAACCTAATCCCCCTGCAGGACTTGCAGAGACAAAACAGAATCACCAGTCTCAGCAGCTTCAGAGCCCATTGGTGTCTACTTGGGGAATGTGTAGCCTCGAGGGACTCAGAGGTCAGAAAAAAATCATGGGCTATTTCCTGTATTTCAGTAAGTCTTCAGGGAACCATGACTTTACCTAGAACCAGCTTCACAGGTGACAGAAACATCCAATATCTTTGCTTTGGGCTGGAATGATCGCAGTCTGGGGTTTGGCATTAGGTATCTCATGTTACCAGTGCATTTTGTTGGTAGTTATAGCTGGCCTGTTGCCTGTCAGTTTTTTTTGCACTTTCTAAATGAAGGTGATGGTTTTTCTCATTATAAACAGACATTTTGAAAACACAAATATAAAGGGGAAAACACTCCCATCAACAGATCCTTGGTAATGAAAAGTTAAGAAAACCACTGAAGTAGTCCCATCTTCCTAATATGATTTCCAGTGTTTGAAAATTGAGGTCAAGGGAAGTATATGAAACCATTCATCCAGTTGGATTAAAACTCAGGATGCCTGGCTTCTGGTAAAGTGTATTGTCCATCATTCCATGTCTTGCTCCACCCCTGGCACACCCAGGCTTATGAGGGAAGCCATGTCTGCTAGTGATCATCGGCTGAAGCCTTCACTGATGAGGATGGACCAAAATAAGGCTCTCCCACCCCGTTTGCTTAATGTTTGAGTTCCAGGTCAATAGGCCAGACAATGAGCAGATAAGATTTTGGTACTACTGCCATAATATTATCCAGGAACAAATGGACCGCCATCACCAACGCTGAAAGTACCAGAGAATTTGCTTTATTTTTTCATTCATTCATTTCTTTGGTAAATATCCATTGAACATGCTCATTATGTTCCAGACACTGTGGATGGAGAGATGGCCAGGACATTGAGCACCACCCTCCCAGTATTCAACCCTCTCTGGGGTCTAGGATAAAACCAAACACTTGAAATGTCAGCTGAGAGGTGCCTGTATGTACTCTGGTATAGGAGTGCTTACTGGGATGACTAAATTTCTAATGGGGCAAGGAATAGTTACTAGTGTTTATAGAGATGGATTTTTCCCACTACTGAGGAAATAAGAATTCTAAGCACAGGAACAACATGGGGTGTTGTTGCTGTGGTAGAAAGAGAATGAGTTTTCAGAGTTGTGATGCTCTGGGTACAAGTCACATCTTTGTCACTCATGTATGAAACCTTGAGAAAGTCTTCTGAACTCCTTGAGCCTTATTTCTAGAGATCATAGTGCCTAACTCAGGAAATGAGGAATAGAGATCATAGTGCCTAACTCAGGAAATGAGGAATTTTGTAATGTGCCTGGCACAAAGTTGGCACTCCTGAAATGTTAGTTTTCTTTCTTCAGGACAGTAGTGGTGGCCCCTAGGAGCTCCTCTGGTCTTCCAGAGGTTCTTCTGGCCTCAGTGTTCAACAGTAGGTAGGGGCATGCAATGACCCATCATAGTCTCTAGGCACCTTAGCTCCTTTGTCGGTTAGCCAGTGTACTTAGCCCTGTCTTTGGAAGCCTGGACACTGTGGTGGAATTAAAGATGAAAAATGTGAAAGTGTAGGGGACAGACACTCAGGTACTTGTACTTCAAGGTGCAGTGATACACAAGGGTCTTTCAGTTTTTGCAAAGTTCAGAGCTCTAAGTCACAGATCTCAGACTATGAAACTCATGCCAGCTCAGGAGCTGAGCTAACGATTCAGGAGAAGAGAAGAACTGGCAAAGCAGACAGAGAGGCAGGAGGAAAATCTTCAGAACCAAGAGGAGAAGTCCTTTGCTGAAGGACGAGCCTGAAGATGCTGGCAGCTGTGGAAGGGAAGGTCTGGGGGCAGAGTGTTTGGGGACAGGGAGCAGCCCCAGAGGGCAGGCACAACGGGTTCTGTGAGGCCATAGGATTGGGAGATGCATGGAGACGGAGGAAAGGAAACACAGGGAAATGCTGCCCCTGTGATTTCCAGGTTCAGAATTCCACTCCCCCATGTCTTAGGGATGGACCTGAGTGGATGCCTTCAGCCCTCTCTACTCCAAGTGTGGTCTGTAGACCAGCAGCGTTGGAATCACCCGGAGCATGTTAGAACTGCAGCATGAGGATCCCAGCTCACACCTCCTGAACCCAAACCTGCATTGTAACAAGAACCCCAGGCAACTTGCATGCACATCAAAGTTTGAGAAGCACTGACTTAGCCAGAGTCTTAGTTGTCTCATCAATAAAATAGGAAAAGTAATACCTCCCCCTGGGGTTCGGGAGCCACCTGGTCCCTCTAAAAGTCCCCAAATTTTCTGTGAAAGAGAAATGCTCCAACATGCTTTGGCTGATAATCTTGTCACTGAAATCCATGTTTGTTCAGTCAACAGGTATCTGTGGGATTCCCACGTGCGTGCCGGGGGTGGTCCCAACTGGCACGTAAGCCTTAGCACAACAAACAAAACTCCCTGCCCACATGAAGCTTTTTAATAGAGGAGATCGAGAATAAACAACATGTATTTAAAAAGTGGCATAGATGTTAAGGAATGGTGGAGAGAGCTAAGGAAAAAAAGGTAGATAAGCCAGAGAAAGGGGCTGTAAAGTGTGAGTAGGGAAGAAATAGAGGAACTTCTTTTTCCCCAAAACAAAGAGGTCCTCAAGGGTGCTCCCTACACTGAAAGATGCTAGGCACAAGCTCAGGGGTCCACAGACCTTTTCCAGAAGGAGCTAGTGGTAAATATTTTTGGCTCTGCAGGCATATGGTCTCTATTGCATCTACTCTGCTGTTGTAACAGGAAATCAGCCATAGCTGATGTGTAAAGGAAGAAGCATGGAGGTATTTCAATTAAAAAAAAAAAATTATTGTATAAACCCGGTGATTCACAGACCTGTACCCCTGGGGATAAAAATACATTATATGTTTATAAAAAAATTAAAAAATTAATAAAAAAATACTGCAAGAAAAAAAAGTATTTAAAAAACTATCAAATACAGGGCTAGATTTGTCCTGAGGGCCATAGTTGGCCAATCCCTGCCCTAGACTTTTGAGGCAGAAAGAGGCCGGAGTTCAAGATTCGTCCTGTTTTATGAACTGCTACTGTGCACTGCACCATGTGCTTGCTGTTGCAGACACAGTGGTGAATGAGGCATACCTGGTCCAGTTGAGAAGTGGGCAGAAGTTGAAAGGAACCACCCATCGGTTGCTAGTATGGGCCAGGCTCTTCTCATGCTCGCGGCTAGCCCTGCAAGATATAGGTCACTGTGTTGAGTCTACATAGACCTTGAGACTGAGGTTGGAGGACTTGTGTAGATCCCACAGGCAGGATGTGGCAGGGCGAGGGTTTGAACCCAGGACCACATGCCCCTCAGCCCTGCCCAGCCTTCTCCCTCGACTCTGTTCTTCAAGGGTTGGAAGGGCTCCCACTTAGACCATGTGCTTGGACAGCCATTGGCCAGGCTGCCGGAGAGCCAGGATCCACCAGCCAGTCTGCCTCCTGGCAGAAACTCAGTTCCATGCAACAACCTCAGTGCCTTGCTAGGGACAAGAAGTGGTTGCTATCCCTCGTTGGCAGGGAGGCCCTTGAGGCAATTCTGGCTTTGCTATCCTGGGGATTTGCCTGGTCAGAGCTGAGAGCACCAGACTCCCAGAGCAGAGGCAGCCAAGGTTAGAGTGAAGAGTGCCCCACAGAGTGCTCATGACCAGGACAAACAGAGCTATAGATCAAAGGAACTGAGACCTAGGGACAGAGGAGTGTCTAGAATGCGGTCCCCCATTGTCCAGCACACGAGAAAAAATAGCAAAATAATGTGGGCTTTGATATCAGACCTAGATCACAGTCCAATGTCTACCTCTTCTGCCAGATTGTTCAGACCTTGAACAATCATGGAAATAGAAACACTCTGAGCCTCAGTTTCCACATCTGCAGAGTGGCGATGACAGGGGTGACTCCCCAGCATTTTTGAGAGGGCTGGTAAGGGAGGGTATATGCAGAGTGGCTGACACAAAGGACGTATTTCAAAAATAATAGGTATGATTCCTTGCATTCCGAGCTGACAGAAATGCTTCTCTAGAATGCCTTTTTTGCCTTCCTATAGTAAAGAAGCACCCAACAACTTCGGCGTCTGTTTTTCAAAAGGTTTCAGGAGTTGGCATGTGTTCACGGGTTAATTTATCTCAGGGTGTGTGATGGGCACAGTAATTGTTTCAAACAGAGACATTTTAGTGTAGTAGTTCTTGAAAAAGCACTAAGATGTTTACCAACTGTTCCGACAGAGAGAGAGAGAGCATTTAACGGTTTCACCTAGCCTCGGATAAATGCCATGCAAGTATCAAGGAGGCGGAAAACGGTGACCTGGGCTGAGCCCTGTCTGCAGACGCTCTGAAACTCATGTGTTTTTTTTTCCCCCCTATATCCTTCCTATCTCTCCCCATGGCAGCGTATTTGAATCCTACATTTACCCTACAAGATCCAGATCTAACAGCGCCTCCTACAGGAAGTCTTACCTGATTCTCTCCACCTGCGGGAATGGGCCTTTTGTCAGCACTCACTGTGGCTGCTTTTTATCATGGGCACGAGCAAATGTGTCTTAAAGATGTTTCTTGTTCTTTGAGGTTTCCCCCACAGTGCCCACCACACAGGCACAGTGAACCCCAGTAAGTGTGTGTGGAATGAATGAGAAGAACAAGATAATATTAAAAGACATAACAACGAAAGT